GTCACCAAAATTGGAAAGTCATATTTTGTAATGTGTTGATTTGATATGGAAAGACTCAATGTGTTATCTGGCAAGGGAGAACTTTTTTCTTTTCAGTGACAAAACTGTCAATATCTCAAAAAGTTATCAATATCCCAATATGATTCTCGGCAGACCTGTTCTACCTATAGAGGCCTGTAAGTCAAATTTAGTCAAAATAGAAAATAAGGTATTTTTGCTAAATGACGTCATAAGTTTGAGTTTAGATTTTATTGCTACGTTTTATTTCTTGGGATATTACTAGAAGAGAAGTTATAATCGTATTTAGGAACAGAGGTGCTAAAAGGTAACAAAGCAGACATTATATTTAGAGCCTCTTATCTTTAGATCTAAACGAATGAATAGAAAAGTATTTAGTATTTCGCAATTTCTCAATTGTACAAAGCTTTGGTCCAAATTTCATCAAAATGGGAGGAGGTCATGCTTTATAATGTGTTGATTTGACTTGGAATGACCCTATTGTGTCCCTCGGGTCCGCATGCGTACCTCTGTGTGTACCTTTGTGCGGATGTGGTCCACATGTGTTCCTTGCAGTCGCAGATGTCCGGGTTCTCAATGCAGTACTCAAAATAAGCATAAGATGGCGGTTATGTTCCCTCAAACATTCGAACTCGAATCATGACGTACCAGCCTTAGGAGAAGAGTTTCCTTCCTTTCCCTCTATCCATCTTATCGTTATTATCCATCTTATCATGAAACTTGTAAAGTAGCATTTGGTAATAGCGTAATTATCATGTTTCAATGGCAATCAATGATTATGAAACTTTTTAATTGCTAGGGTTTTGCACGAGGACAGAGAAGTGTAAACTGACAGGTTATGAGTTTTTACTCTCGCATAACTGAGCGGCCAACTTTCAACAAACTCGGAAGATGTTAAACAGGCTGGTCTTGCTACCTTCTCTCCCCATGATAATTGGAGAAGTATATTTAAGACACAGCTCGGCACCTTCCGTTGTGAAGTGGAGACATTGCCGCGCTGTCAGCGTGTCATCTGACAGCTCGCTGTCTGTCGGCGACGTTGTGCCGGATGATGGTGCTATTTAAGCTCTTTTCAAAGCTCCTCTAAGCTGATAATTGAGGTTCATAGGCAGGTTTTAATAAATACCCTTAAGCCCGAAATGAGGTAAACATGTGATCTTAAAGAAAAGACTCCATCCGTTCCTTCTGAATAGAGATATGAAGGGTACACATGTGTACCTTATTTTGCTTTTGTACCTTTTCAACGAACGTATTTTACGACATACGTTTGTACCTCATAACGTACAAAATATGTATCTCATTGTACGTTTCTGCTTTGCTGTGCAGGACGGGACAGCGATGGACGGGAGGCGACTGAAGGTCACATCCCGTCAGCGTCTGCGGCAGCACAGTTTTATCTTTCATGTTCATGCGAGTTCCGGAATTTCTGAAGCAGTAGTTGATGCTTGATATGCACGTGCAACATTTTAAGGCTCATTCGTTCCTCTTTTAAATGCCGCAAACCACATTAAAATTTATGCAGTGAGTGCGGTATAGCGTATCGTTGAAAACTGTTTTATTTTATTTTACTTTTTTTTTGTAACCCAGCTGGTTTATGCTTAGTTCACATTGCGTCAAGTGCCTCGCATCCCGATTGCACATGGGCCAGCACAGATGCATCGCCAGGCCACGAAATGCAACATGACAACACGTCCCGAAAGACTATCATTGGAAAATTGTAATAAAAAAATATTTTGAAATATACATATACATATGCATGACATCTCTCGAACCGTTCGGTTTTATTTTGACTTAGACCCGACTTTGATCTCCGTGAACCGAATCTGCGTAGACAAAAATCTAAACGCCACGAGAACGAACGGTAAAAACGAATTCCTTTAGACTCGGCCTTTCCTCGTCACCGTCAAGGAAATGTGCGACCAATGCCAAGGTCGGAGGCAGGACCTCGTCCTCGAGAAACAGGTTTCGTGACCGTCCTTCCCTCGCCTCATCCAGCTCTTCTACGTCACTCGAATGCAACGAGAAGCGAACCGTCTGAGACAGGTGAACATAATGCTGTTCATCGTCTTGTTGCTCTTGTGGCCCTGGTCAGCCCCAGATTTTCATATGCAAGAAGTTCTAGAGTCGAGAGAGAAGTTTTTGCGTCATCAAGCCATTTCGAGAAATTGAAATAGACCATTTCTGTACAGAAATCTTTAAAATCATTGCTGTCAATGACGCCTGCCCGCGAGAAATTCAATAAGAACCAGATATGCCTGCCATTCTATGTGTATGACGGCGTGCAGAATGAGCATGAAAAGTTCTCCCCGTAGTTCATCGTCGATCAACAGATGGGACTAGTAGCACACAACACAAGAGCCCCTAGGGCCGAGAGAGACAAGCGGGTCCGGCCTGCGGCTTGACATTTCCCTTCCACCAATGACGGAAGGCTTCACCGATCCAGCATGGTGACCGTCTGTGGTGGCCAGAGACATAGTAAATATAACTAGACTGGACAGTGCAGTCGAAGATCTCACGTCATGTAGACCCTGAGCCCAACTGCGTGGGAAACTAATATTGCACTCACATTGGTTAGTGCAATTAAAATAAAGACTGGGTTTCTACTCCTCAAAAATGGAAAATTTGACTAAAAATTGATCGATTTTCAAAACACCATTTCAGTGAAGACCGGATAGGCCTAGATCTATCCGGTCTTCAGTGTACAGCTACTGCCTTAACATCTATTACGCATCACAACAATGGAATTCGGATTCTCTTCTGACGAGGTATTGCACTTTTTTTCAATGCAGGTTTGAATGAAGCCTCTACTGCAATGGTGAGCGTCAAAACTCACATTGGAGTGTGACGTCATGAATTCGAAAGCTATGCGTTTATTGCACGACTTGACGAAATGAGCGATGGCGGCCGCCCCTTCTAATCGGCGTGGAGCTGCGGCGCGTTCTCCATTGGCCTGTCCAGTCTAGTTATATTTACCATGTCTCTGGTGGTGGCGGCTGTTCAAATTTTTGGTGGCGGACATCGTCTGATTTGAAGTCTTAAGCTTAGTTTTACTAAGTTTCTTACGAGAGTGTGTTGCACGAGCTCGCTTAAAGTTTGGCCAAAGGCTAAGCCCTTTTTTGTTTGTTTTCAGTATTGATTAGGGTGACCAGACGTCCCGGTTTGAATTTTGAGCACCTCCGGTGAAATTTGCATGCCAGAAAGTTGGCCTGCAACAAAATCCCTTGGCATTCTTCATGACCATGTTGATCCTGTTGGATCATGCAATATTTCATACACCTAGTTGTACAAGTTTACGAGTCAGAGCAGCCAGCGCGCATGTAACGCATGCTGACACTCCTGGCAGCCCCCATGTTGGAACGGCGAAGGCGTTCTGATTGGTGGGAGGGAATTGCAATGCCGCAGGCCAAACCAGCTTGTCGAGAGAGACAGAGCCTGGCCAACTCCCGCACTGGACGCCATTTTGATTCTTCCGCGTTCAGTCTCACAGTTCTTTCTCGCATAAATCGCTTCAATTCCCTGAAAACAGACCCAGATCTGAGTGCTCATACGCGTTACCAAATGATTAAATGAACAGATACACTCCTGGAAACATCACCGATCATAATCTATTACTCTCAAATGCCTTTTTTTTGCACCTAGGCTGACATTTGAGAGGTTTCCTGATATACAAAAATCCCAACATATTAACGGATAACTAAAGCTAATCCCAGTATACATTCTGGTCAGCCAGTTGATCTCCATATATGCTGCTCATCCACGGGGGTAGGGAAAGAGAAAGGAGGTCGATGTTAGCCACAATATCCACTCATAAATATTGTTTGTCTTCTATTGATGTTGACATACTGTTATATTGCCTTCTCTTCTCCCGTTTATTATCAATTAATTTGTCTCGCTGTTAGTTCTTTCCCTTAACATTAAATCTTACATTAAATAACAGTAAACAGCAGAGACGTACATCATAGGTCAGTGGTTCAGTGGACCCAATTTGGGCCCAAGCTATTTTTAGTGGGTCGCCAAGGGTCTCCAGTGACCGTCCGAACTTTCCTTTATAGTCTAGGTCACTCATGCTACCCAAGCATGCCTCCTTTCAGTCTATTAAATTCTAAAAAAAGGCAGTCTGGATTCTAAGCTTATAATAACCATGCCGAGCTTGCATTTGGATCGCAGCAAAAAAAGGTTAAGAACCACTGTCATAGGTCTATAAAATGTAAGCCATTCCTACTCTTGATGTGAGGGGGGGTTTCTTTGCGTAACGAACTTTATCTGCCTATTATTTTTAGTAGTTATCATTCTCTGGGGTATTAATCTCTCAAGAACGAATATCATGGGCTTCTATAAATTACATCTATTAGTAAAGACTAGACAACTGACCTCACAGAGAAATTAATTCCCTATCGTAGTCCAGTTCAGTCTCTTCACCTTGGCAGCCCAAAGGGCCCGACGATTCCTATTCGATGGGAAGCGAAACACTCCATTCAGTCTCACTCCTGTTGGGAGCATCCAACAGCCACACAGCAGGGCATTATCACCAATAAAGCCCAAGGGATTGGCCCTTCTCATATAGCCGATGCCGGGCTCCTGGAATCAAAATGGCACCCAGGCGAGGCAGACAATCAGATTCGTTAAAAATAGGGACTGGAATTGGCCAGGCTCTGTCTCTCTAGGGTTCTTACAACACCCAATCAGTTCTTCAGTCTGTGGCTAGCGACTGCTCAAGCCACGTCCATTCAAACATCTGACCAAGACGTGCATCAAGCTTCATATCGTACATCTCTGCACGCCGCCCTACATATAGAACGCCAGGCATATCTGGGCTAAAGCAATGGATGGCGAACGGTTCTGAGAGCTTTCCACGTTTCCTTCAAACAAAAATCGCATCCACTTACGTCTCAGATCAAGGTGCGCGGGTTGACGAGGCTTCCCAATTGTTTCAATGATGAACGAATTGAGCATGGAAACAGGAAGGGCAGAAAATCGAGAGTCACAACTTTATTCAATACGAATGAATATAAAGTATAATCCTAAAACCTCTGTTTCGAAAGGGAATGAGGAGGAGCGCCAGGAACAGCAAGCAACACTGTTCCCCTGAGAACAGGATACGATAACGCTCTCCTGTCGTTGACGCAAAGCAGCACCAAGACCGTAAGGGAATACGACAGAGTAAAATGAAAAGAAATCCATCACAGGTATTGAGCTGTCGATGATTGGGGGAAAAAACGTAGGATATGAGGAAAGTCGGAGGGGATTTCACGTGTGTTCCAGGCTGTACATTTTCCGACGGCGGAGTCCGCGGAAAATGTTCTTCACCCGTGGACCCGGTGATGTGCTCCTCTCTGCGAACAGACAATTGGTATAATAAATATTTCAAAGTATCATACATATTTCAAATCAATTGGATATATTCATTTGAATGAAAACATGACCGCTTTAAGAAAAAATTTACTAACTTCGCCAATAATAAAAATTCAAGACAGCGAAGAAAAACCAAAACAAATTTGACCAGATCGATTGCGAGTTGTTTAAACGCATTCACAATTTTCTAATTGGCCCCTATTCCCACATCAAATTTAGAAATTAACATCTGAATAACCGTTGCATACCCATTATGGAATTCTGTCGCTCCATTGGATTTCATCAAACATATTTTTATATAATGGACTTCAGCATTGGAAAAACTGAAGTGGCTCAAGTTAAATCCATTCGAGGGCTATTTGGAAGTCAATCATAAGCAATCTTTCAAGTTGTGAATGAAATTGCATACATTATTTAGCATGTGGGAATTGGTCACGAAGCGAACTTGACCCGTGTGCATGGCCGAATGAGGGTATCACTTCGTTAAACTCAACAAACGCTCCCAGAAGTGCCAAGGTCGAAGATAAAAACATAACCAACAACTTAAAAGTGTGGTAAAATAGGCAAGCACCAGTCAGTCGTTTAAACAAGGTTTCCGCAATCAAAATGAGGAAGAGCAAGAGACCTCCAGGCAGTGGAGTGTTCCCGAGGAAGACGCTTGCCGACCTCTTCACAACTTCGTTTCCCCTGCGACCCCAGAAGTGGGGAGGAAGGGTGTTGGTGCTCATGTCTGCGTTCTTCCCTCGAGGTCGCCTCGCTTCTGATGGGGCGATTGGTTGCAACTCCACCGGGTGGCGTAGGTCGATCGGGCGAACGAGGTCCACTGGGCGGCCCAGGTCCACCGAGCGGCCCAGGTCCACCGGGCGACCCAGGTCCACCGGGCGACCCGCATGGCGGAGGTCCGTGGCGGAGGTGTCCATGGGTCTGCCGGTACGGAGCATCTGCCGGGTGTCTCCGCCCGCAAGATGCAAGGACGTTTCCGATGACGAAAGAGGGACGGGTCGGACCGGACCCGTCACGACGTCCGTGAGATATCCGTTGGGATAGGGAGTCAGGAAACTCTTGGATCGATTCACCTTCATGACCCCGGCGTTGCTCAGGTGTCGCTTGATCTTCTGCTTCAGGCTCTCCTTCGGGGCGCGAAAGCGGTTGGTCCCGGTCAGAGGGTAACTCGGGTCCATGGAGATCCGGCTGGTCATGGGCATGTACGGTTTGCTGAATCGTTCGATGCTCAGGCGTTCGCGGTCGATGTCGCTCGGGGTGCGGGGCAGCTGCTTCCGTTTCGCCTGGCCCGGACTCTGGTATGACGTCATGCGGTTGGTCACGTCGCGGAGACGCTGTTCGTCGCGGATTCCGGTGGACTCGTGCACGGACTTGGCCTTCATCTCTCGATTTTTCTTGCGGTACAGGTTCAGGTGACTAGTCTCGAAGTGGCCCATGCTCCAGAACTCTGGATTCTCCATGCCGCGATGCTCACCGCGGACGTCGATGAGGGACCGAGACGTCCCCGCGGGCGGGGGAGGCGGGACGAACGGCGGCGGATGCTCGTGGAGTCCCTCGATTTTCCCCTCTTGAAGCAGCCGGCGGATGAGGTTGTACTCGCTCTTCCAGCCCTGTTTCAAGCGGTTCAGGGCCTCGTCCGAGTTGTAGTTGGAGTCGACGCTGGAGGTGTGGGCGTGGCGGGGCTTCATCACGCTCCCGTTGGGAGACGAGGCCGGGGAGTTGTTGTCCGAGGAGAAGCTCGTCTTAGTGCCGGAATCCACAGAGTTGAGTGAGGAACACTCGCCGTTCTCGAGGACCTTGGGGCGGTAGCGTTGGCCGTTCTTGTGGCTGCAGAACGTGTCGTTGTAGTGGAACTTGGTCTCGTCGTAGTGGAACTCGGCCTCGTACTTGCGGTAGCGTTCGCGCAGTTCCTTCGAGGTCGCGACGTAGTCGAAGCTGGCCGAGGACCAGGCCGAGTCAGCCGTGTTCTCGCTCCGTAGGGTCGACTGCTGCTCTTCCGTCTCGCTCTGTAGGGTCGACTGCGGGCCCTCGGTGTCGGTCGCCAATGTCGACTGAGGGCCTTCGGTGTCGGTCGTCGTCTGCTGCCTGTCGATTTTAGAGACCTCGAGTGTCGACTCCTGGTTCTTGCGTTCGAGAGAATCCTGCGAGTAGACCGACTCCCGATCCGAGAACGGCGACGGCGGCGGCAGAGGCTTCTCTCCTGCCTTCGCCTCCTTCTCCTCCGCCTTCTCCCCCGATTTCCCCTCCTTCAAAGTCATTTTGTCCTCCTCCAAGATGTCTGACGGAATGCTGTCGTCGTCAGACGAGTCCGAATAATCTGGAATCGGTGTCGGCGGCGTCGGCAGAGTGATATTCGGATTCAGACTCAAATTCTCGCTCAAATCCGAAATGGTCCTGCAGTTTCGATATTTGAGCGAAGTCGATCCGGTCCTCCTCCCCTCCTCTTCCCCCAGCGGATTGCACCCAAAATAGTAGTGCGGCGGGAGGCTTGCCGGCTCCTTCTGGCTCTGGGACCTCGTCGGCCGATGCTGCTTCTCCGAGCCGAGGCTCGAGCTGGCCGACGTGGACGCCGAACGGGACACTCGCTGGTGCTCCTGAGGCCCTTCCTGGTGCTCCTGCGGCCCTTCCTGTCGGATCGTATCGTTTTCTCTTCATTAGAGGGAACACCCAAATTAAAAACTATCACTAAGTGGGTTTTAACTTTGGGTGTATCGATCGGACACCGGTCGATTCAATCGTTTCCCATAAAACTGGCGAAACTGATCTTCGCCCACACCCTGTATTTCATTTTTTAACGCTGAACACGCATCGCATCTCTTCTCTCTACTTCAATTTCCTGACATTCTGCAGCATGCCAGAGAACTGCACGTGGACAGGTTCTGGCAGCCGCTTGAAAGCCGCTTGAATCCCCCGAGAGGCCCTCGTCATCATTTTTTGCATACGCTTTGAATTTTCAATAAGCCATGGAATGTAGGGCTTGGCCCGCGATGCAAGCTCCTACTCTTTTAAATTATTTTATAATATAACTACGTAATATATAATTGTTTCAAATTCATTTTCATGTAGAACGCGAGAGCAGTACCGCCACAAATACTGCAAAAAAATGCGTCAATGACAGAAGAATACTTTTGCAAATACAGTTATCTGTGCCCTATTTCTCGTGCTATTTTTATGAGGGAAAAACCCATGATTAAAAAAAATTAATAATAAATGTAAAACTGATGCCCCCGATTCAAATTAAACAGCGAAAATGACTTATCCTATGCACAACCATAATATCGGTGTCGGTATTGATATTAGCCTAATTTTCATATCCGTGTAGTCCTAGTTTTAACTGTAACTGCCGAATTAAGGGGTTTCAGGATAAAGCTGTCCACGCTTCACATTAAATTCATATTTAACTCTTAACTGAAATCTTAAACCAGTGGTTAAACTGCGGACCGTTGAGGATCCGAAAACAATTGCGTGTTCCTTTAAATTTTCCCAACAGTGCAGAAAATTTAAAGGAATGGCTTGAAAATGACTAAAAGTCATTCTACCATTTGGATTGCAAAATCCTCGTCGCCAACTCGGTTAATAATTTTAAGAACGACCGTAAAAAAAAAGTTTAAATTAATAAAAAAAATAATATTAATAAGTAAAATATAAGTAAAATAAAACACGCCCACCGTTGCATAAGAAATCCAACGATGCGGCGTGAAATCCGCGGAGAAAAATCGTGGAAAGAGAAAAGTGACGTGAGAGTCCGCAGGCGAAAGCCTTTCGTCTCGGAGAGAAAGCCCGGATTAAGAAAGCACAGATTAACCCGGATTCCCAAAACCCCGCGGCTAAATATATCTTTCTTTAAAAAAGAATAAAAAGTTATTGCTCCCTCTAACTTTTTTTTTCTTTTTTAATAGCCCTTTCTTTTCTCGTAAATCGCTGGAAATTCCGCGATTACAGCTAATTCTACTTCGTTAGAAAGCTCTCTGCATTTCGTTCTCGTTCTCGCAGAATTTCGTGGCGATCTAATTTCGGCGGAATTTTTACTTTCGCGAAATTAAATAGCAGCGAAGTTATCAACTATTTCGGCTTTAAAAAATATTATCTAATTGTTAATTTGGCGATCTGGATCATCGCGAATACAGCATAGCACCAACATTTCGGGCGGACTAAATTTCGCGAAAATAAAACGAGCGCGAATGTTTGCTGCATTCAAATTACGGCACCGGCCGAAAACCCGGAGCAATATTAATGAATCCCACCATCGCGCGAGTGGGACGGAAAATCGAAGATTCGACATGCCATAGAGCCAGGAACGTGTGCCAGGAACGCCAAAAGAACCAGGAGCGTCAAAGAGCCAGGAATGTATGATTCGTCATCGGCTGGCGGAACAAAACGCAAAGGGTGTCGACAGAACGTTCCGGTCCAGTCGCGTTTGGAGAAAGGGGATCGTCTCCCTTACCGTCCTCGATCTTCGCAATTAACTCCCCAATAATTATCATAAATTGTTTTTTTTTTTTTTTTTGGGGGGGGGGGGGGGGGGGGGGGGAGGCCCG